GTTGAGCAGTAGCCCACAAGTTAGTGGGCAACTTCCTTTGTACAAGTTTGGGCATCCATGCCCATCTAGAACCATTTAGTTCTAAGCAGATTGGTCTATAGCCATTTGAAGTATTATAATCATGGGGGATGGCTATGTAATTGTTAATCCTTTTTCTTCTTGAAGTTGAAAATGGATTATTGACCTTTGGAGGAGACTGCTTAGTGTTTTGACTGTGGTTGGTCTTATTGGTTGATTGCCAACGGGTTCTTGGGTTTTGATGGTTGGGAAGTTTTTGTCTATACAGGAGATTGGATTTTGATTTGGGAGCAGACAGGTTCCTTCTTATGGGAACATTCTGAGAATGGGATTTTTGGTAGATTAGCTTTCTTGTATTTTGTTGGTGGCTTGTGGAGGGTAAGTTTTGAGTGAGTCTGGTGGGGGATACATATCCGAGGCCTCTTCTCTTCTTATTTAAAAGAGTAAAGGGTCAGTTTGGTCCTCGAAGTTGCAAAAACGGCGTCAAATAAGTCCTTATATAGAAGATTCTGTCCGGACGTGCCATTTGAGGTGGCTCCCGGTGGAATTTTGTGATAAATTTTTTTGAGCATCTTATTCATTAAGTCTAGTTTACACATACCAAATTTCAGCTAAAAATTCAATCGGGAAGACATTCAAATGAATTCTTGAAGATAACAGCGCTTTTAACGGCACAGTTATCTTCAAGAATTCATTTGAATGTCTTCCCGATTGAATTTTTAGCTGAAATTTGGTATGTGTAAACTAGACTTAATGAATAAGATGCTCAAAAAATTTCATCACAAATTTCCACCGGGAGCCACCTCAAATGGCACGTCCGGACAGAATCTTCTATATAAGGACTTATTTGGCCCCTTTTTTGCAACTTCGAGGACCAAACTGACCCTTATCCCTTATTTAAAATAACTTCAGCAGTAGAGTCACTGGTTTTACTATCCATGCTAAAGTTATTCATTTTGTCTTTCAGCTCTTTGTTCTCTTCTTCTAAGACATTATTTTTGGTTAAGGCATCTAGCAATCTTGTGTGAACAGCCTTAATGTCTTGTTTTAATCTATCATTTTCTGATCTTAAGAGAACATGGTGATTTTGGACTTTTTGGAAATCTTGTAATAAAGATTCCAGAGAAATATTGGTTGGTCCAGAATCACTAGAGCTATAGGAAGAGCAGGATGTTACCTCAACATCATTGTAGTGGTCCTTGGCCATTAGGCATTTAGGGGAGCTGCATTCATCATCTTTACTGAGCCATCTGCTGCTTTCTTCAGTGAGCCAGCTGCCGCCTTTTTCAGCCATCTGCCAGGATCCCAGGCATAGAAGTGCTTCCTCTGAGCTTTCAGATGAAGAGCTTTCATCACTTGAGCTGCTTTCATCTTCAGACTGGGGTTCCTCCTTTTTCTTTTCACTTACAAAAGCTTGTCTATTGCTTTTGAAGTCCCTCTTGTAACTAGCTTTAGGACCAGTCCCCTGCTGCCCTTGATACTTCTGGGCTAAGGGCAGAGGGCATTCATTTTTGTAATGTCCTGGCTGTCTACAGTTGTAGCACAGAACAGTTTCCTCACTGGATTGATGTCTCCCTTGTCTTCTAGGTGGCAGGTTGTATGCTTTCTTTGGAGCAGTTCCCTCCTTCTTCATGAATCTTTTAAATTTTCTCACAAACATAGCAAACTGCTCGTCAGTGAGGAGATTATTGAGGGATTTTTCAGCAGATTTTGAAGTGCTTGGCTCAGACACTAGAGCTAGTGTCTTATATTCATCTTCCTTCTCTTCTTTGATCTCCTTCATTTCAAATTCATAGGCCTTGAGATCACTAAAGAGTTTGTCGGTTGACAGAGTTCTGAGATCTCTGCTATCTCTCATAGCAGTTACCTTCATGTCCCATTTTGATGGCAGGCCTCTCAAGACCTTGAGGGAAATCTCCTTTTGAGATAGTTCTTTCCCAAGGTCAGAGACCTCTGCAACAATCTTCAGGAATCTGGATTCCATCTCATGGATAGATTCAGTTGACAGCATTTTGAAATCCTCAAATTTCTTGAGCGCTATGGTCAGTTTATTGTCCTTCTCCTGTTCATCTCCTGCTCCAATCTTTGTGAGCTCATCCCAGACATCTTTGGCAGTTTCGCATTTCCTGATTCTGGGAAATATAGATTCATCAACAGATTTGAAGAGAATGTCCTTGGCAATGTTGTCAAGATTGTTTCTCTTCCTGTCCTCAGTTGTCCATTCCATTTTGGGTTTTGGAATGTACACATCATCTGTTCCTTCTGTGGTTCTGGATGTGATGACCTTCATTATTTTGATAGGTCCATCAGTAATTACTTCAAGCATCTCATCATGTAAAGCACTGAGATGTGCTCTCATCCTTATTTTCCAGTCATCAAATTTGTTCAAGTTGAACAGAAGGTTCTTGGCTAACTGACTGTCCATTTTTGAAGGTGTTTGGGAAGTAGAGTGGTTTGAATCTTTAGTTCAAATTAGTCAGAAAACTGACTCTAGGAACACCCGCTCTGATACCACTTGATGGTCCCGGATAGGGTAAAAGTCTAGAGGGGGGGGGGGTGAATAGACTTTTAAATCCTTTTCAATTTTATGAAGTTTTTCCTCTAGATGAATTGATCTATAATCTTTTGAGAGATTAATAGATGCACAGCGGAAGTCTTTACCCTTTTTCTAATGAGTGTGTGACAACTTTCTACCTTGAATGATGTTTGGACTTTAAACTGTGAGCAGTTGGCTTGGCAGTTGGCTAGATGGCAGGGAACTGCTGAGGCAACTGCCAGTTGAAAATAGGAGTTTGAGAAAGATGATAATATGGCCTTGCAGAGAATGATGAGGGCTTTCTGAATATATGTTGAGCTGAAGATAGTAAAGAGTTTTGCCTGAGCAGTGGTCTGAGCAGTTGGGTAATCCCAGGAAACTGCTAAGCCGTCTGCTGCTTATAAGGAGGTATCTTTGAGAACTGACCAACCACACCTTTTAGTAGTGATATTCAAAGCTTGTGGGAAACAGAAGTCTCAAGGAAAAGTGAGTTATTAAGCAGTAGGATAAGCAGTAGAGTCAATTAAGACGACTGCTTAGGATGCTGCTGGCAAACTACGATCCCTTTAGTGAGAAGTGTTGGGTGTGTGCTTTGGTGAGTAAAGGAGAATCAACACACGATGTATCCTGGTTCAGAGGTGGTGTAATCCTCCTACATCCAGTCCCACCCTCTTTCAGATGGATTTCACTAAAGTATTCAGCCCAATACACTTAGTGCCAATCTAGCCTTTACAACACTTAGGCCTAGATTGAAGGTTTTTCACAATGAGTATAACACCACTCAAAGTTACTCAGTCCTTAGACTTTTTTTTCAATCGATCCAGTGGGGATCAAAAGGTACTCTATCTATCTAACCACACTTTAGGATCCGAACAACTGTTCTCCTAAGTGTTTACAACCACTTGTGAAATGTTACAAGAAAGTTCTAACCTCCAACTATGAACTAAGCTCTAAAAATGTGAAAGTGTTGATCTAATCTGAGAGCTTAGTGAAGCATGAGGCTAAGCAGAGAGTAAAGTTGAGTTTGCACTTTCTCTTTTGCTAGATAGCTCGTATATGCTTTGATGAAAGTATTTCTCTACTTAGGATGCTCAAGCTTGTTTTTGAACTCATGCTTCTGCCTATATTTATAGGCCTTCATGGTTGATTAATCTCATCCGTTGGTTGAGATGGATTAATCTTGTGCGTTGAGGGTCTGGCTAGGACGAATTGTACATTCGTCTTCTTGTGCAGGAGCTTTTAATCTTTTTGTTTTCTGTCTTGAATGATTGGGCTGCGGTATGGGTGTGTCTTCAGCCGCTGCAGCTTCACTCCAAGAAATCCTCCCATGCTGTAGGACCGTGTATTTAATGCTGGTCAACTTTTGTCTTCCAATCAACATTCAATGTATTCGAGCATCTCAAATGTGACCTATATTTAATCTTTGAGTAAAATGATATATGCCGGTAGGATTTAAATATCCTATGAAGGTAAAAAGTTACCTTATTGCATTTTTATGTATCCGGTAATATATCATTAATCTTAAAGATTGTACATTTATTTTTGTCACATTTTAATGCTAATATTTGAATTTAATTTAGACACAATGTACGGGTGCAAAGTATAGTGGCATCATCAAAATCTATCAAAATTGGGTACTAACATTAAGGGATTAGGTTAGTCATATTTCAGACTATTTTCCCTTATTTTTTAAAAACTAATTCCAATTAACCCGCAGAGGTAACTCAGTTACTTGGTCGAGTGGTAGTAAAGTTAGATGATTGGCCAACGATGGAAACCTGCAACGATCATGTGGAGGTCATGCTCCTGTATCTTAGACTGGACTTGTAGTGCGTAGGATCGCACAAATACAAGGTCTGAGTCACCGTGATTTACAATCTTTCAAATGCTTTGTCCGACTTCATGGCTTGAGGGGTCGGGTTGCTGACCTTCACAACCCTAGACTGCAATGAACCCACTCTAGGATCTTTGAATGAGTAAAATGCATAAATAGTACCTTAACTATTGGTAATGTTGCATTTTGGTACCTTAACACTTAAATGAATCAAAACGGTACCCTAACTATACATAAATGTTTCAAATTGAGATTTTATTCAAATGCCCGACCAAAAAATCACACGTGGCGACCAGAATAAAAGCTACTTCACCTTATTTTTTCCCATATGATCACTATAGGGTGACTCTACACATGAAATTTTGATCATCATGAAAGATTTTTTGGTTGAAAATTTGAATAAAATCTCAATTTAAAACATTTATGTATAGTTAAGGTACCGTTTTCATTCATTTAAGAGTTAAGGTACCAAAATACAATATTATCAATAGTTGAGATACCATTTATGCTTTTGACTCGTCTTTAATTTGTATACACATTTTAAGCGAATCGCTTGAAAATGATATTTTCACCCCAGATTTGCAACTAGCCTTAGATTAATTAACTATATAATAATAAAAGAGATAATCTTATAGATGGGAAATGGGAGGGAAATGTTCATGGAACTTCAATATAATCTCAATCTAAAGCAACGGTATAATTTCAGAAGTAATTTCCCATAATTTTAAACTTCACTAACATGTGAGAATAAATTGTCACTTGTAATTAGTGAGTCTGCAATTCTTCCTGACCTCACCCTTGGATCCGGTGAGGACATTAATATTTCCCATCTTGATCATTGCTGCAATAAAATCAGATTGGAACTTTGTCTCATTTTGGCTGTATTCTTCAACCAGCGAATTGGTGGATCCACCAGTGTAGAGCTCATTGCAAGTGTAAAGAAGTCCCTCCTTGTTGATGAGGTTAGTGTAGTATTTGTTGTCGAAGACATGAGGAGTATGAAGGTCAAGAGGAGCCAAGTTGTTCTCCCCAGATCCGAGGTTCTTTGGGCATGTCTTTTGTCTGGTAATGGCTAAGTTTCTGTTCATACTCTTGTCATTGTAAATCCGACTCCTAAAGTTTGCACACCTTGCGCTTCCAAGTGTATGTGCCCCTATTTAGCAATTCAAAAGGAGGGTAAAGGATATACATATTCATTTGGATTTAAATTTACTTATCTGGTAAATTGAATTGCAATTTACGTATTTTAAGGTTGACTTACCATAATGTTACTTCATCCATACATATAGATAAAATCGGTTGTAATAGTTCATGTTTACTTATTTATATGCTACGAATTATTGATATTCAGGTTATTATTGGATGGAAAAAATTCGAGGAGTGGGTCATCCTTCTGTGCAGGGCCGACCCTGATATGTAGAAGGTCCCATGCAAAATTGAATATGAGGTCTGAAGTATAAAACACTACTACCTCCATAACTTAAAAACCTTCCCATTTTAAAAGTAGATAGATTAAGAATAGTGAAAGATGATATGAATTATTGAGGGTATGATGAGAAGTTAGTGGAGTAATATGATGGAATATAGGATAAATCCAAAAAAAGTAGTTGTAATAGTGTATTATTTTTAGAATTATTGAGGGTATGATGAGAATATTTAGAAGTGGGGAGATTTTTTTGTTACGGATGAAAAAGGAAAGTGGGAAGATTTTTTGTTACGGAGGGAGTATATTAATACTTCCACCGGTTTTAAATAATAGTTTCCTTAGATTTTTTGTGGGTTTTAAGATGAAAATAGTAGTTATAGTATAGAAGTGTAAGGTAAATGAAAAAGTAGAAAAGAGAATATATTAAGAAATGTAAAGTAATGACAAATTATGAAAAGGAAAGTAGTTTCAAGCTCGTCCAAACTGTACGAGGGCTTTCTGTTAATTACTGTAACTAGGTCTTGTGAAATAAAGAAATTAAACAATTGTAATAAACAATTGCATTTTAATTACATATAAATATTACTATTTAATGATTGTATTTGAAGAAGTACAGACTAAGATAGGAATTTTTAATCAAATAAATAAAGTTTTATTATATTATACGTAGTACGAAGTATAGACCATATTTAAAATTTTGGGCCTTCTGAAATCGAGAGGCCTTGTGCGGTAGCACTTCTTGCACGCCCTCATCTACGGCTTTGCAGTTCTGTGAATCTTTTCGATGAAGATATAAGAGTATTAAAATCTTACTTTGCTAGTATAACTTTTTCTCATATCATACATAGCTATAAGGTTATTCGAATTTTTTGTTTGATTGTCAAATTTTGTTATCTTTTCCTCGTATCCGGAAAGCCTTGAATTTTGATACGATTAAAACGGAGGGAGTAGTATGATTCAACTTTAGTCTAATATATGATCTAATGAGCACTTAAATGGTGCCAAAGTCACTTTTCCAAATAGGGAAAATTGCACTTTTAGTCCCTGTAATAGTCACCATATTGAAATGTCAGACCCGAATTCCCAAGTTTGTAAATGTCACCCCTCAATTGTCCAAATCGTGGTAAATGTGGTCCTTTAGGGGTGAAATGTACAATTTGGGCGAGGGTACATTTCACCCCTAAAAGGATCACATTTACATCAATTTGGACAATTGAGGGGTGACATTTACAAACTTGAGAATACAGGCTAACATTTCAATATGGTGACTATTTGAGGAACTAAAAATGCGATTTTCCCTTTCCAAATATTAACAAACAGGTGTCCATAATACAAAGTAGTTCAACAAATATTTAATTTATAACTACCAAATATGAAGTATGTAAGAAGCTTTGCTATGATTCCGATGAAACGGCACATCAGATTGGATGAATCGAAAGGTCTATAATATTAAGGTATCTTATAACCAAAAAAGGGAAATTGACAAAATACAATGAGACGGAGAGAGTAGTAGTTAATTATGATGATATACTTCAGTAATATTTTTGAAAAAACCCTGTATTTTTGTTTTTATGTTATTGAGTTTATACTATGTATTAGATAAAAATTGTTATAAAATAACAAATAATCGTATAGCTTAAATGCACTTTTGGGGAGAATTTTATAGTCAAAATTGATTGTCACTTTGTTATTTTATAAGTTTATATTAGAAAAAACCCTAGCGGTCTGTCCCTCATCGTGAGGGTTTTGTGGGTGCCGCCGGCCATAGGCTATCATGCGGAAATTAGGAGTGATTTGTTCTCTTCGGCAATTGCAATAGTTTGTCTGCTGCTACTTTGCAATTGATAGTTGTTTTAAGATCTTTTTCCCAGACTTCTTCTGCAGGTTTGGAGATCGACGGGTTAGTTTTGAATTTGGATGCAGTGACGGCAGGATGGATCAAGGTTTTAAATAGCCGTAGCGGCAGCGGTAGCGGTCATCGCGGTAGCGGCCTGTAGCGGCCTGTAGCCGACTGTAGCGGCCTGTAGCCGACTGTAGCGGTTGCAGCGGCGTGAAATATTTTCAATTGCGCAAAACATAAATGTATTTTTTCACATCATTCACACAACATTTAATTTTGAGTTTCACTCCATGCATCACCATTAATGTATTTTTTCACATAATTCACACAACATTTACACATTTACACATCAAACAATTCATGATGTACTGTCGGAAATGTCAATAGCGGGCTGTAGCGTGCTGTAGCGGGCTATAACGGGCTGTAGCGGGCGGCGTAGCGGATTTTTCCCGTGATTTGGAAATCACACACGAATAGCGGGCCGTAGCGGTAGCGGCCCCTACCGCGACCGCTATATAGCGGCCGCTATAGCGGTAGCTTCATGGGATGGATGCTCAGCATATTCTTGCAGATTGCGGTGCGAGATCGATGCAGGGGAGGATAGCCTCTGGGGCATCAAGCTATGGTGGTGGATCCAAAACTTTTGGGAAGCAATTAGAGGCATGTGACAGTATATCAGTATCGGGAACTGTTGGGAGTGGCGAATGGCCGTCGGACGGCAAGGAAAGGTCAATCAAAACGGGTACTATTGGTCCGACCTCCTCTTGAAGCACCACCATGCGTTGAACGAGATGCTTCGGTTCGAGTTATTTATCTTATTAGTTATTATTATTTTGTCATTTTTGTTTCCGATCAGACTATGGTTGTTTCTATTACTGTTATTTTTTTCTGCCAGACTCTTACATTAGGCAGCGTGACGAGGGTTTTGCTCTGGCCATGTTAGGCTCATTTAGACCCATTACAGGATCATCGAATCATATTACTCTGTGTAAGGTGATTGGTTCTCCGGCTGGTTCAAGGGTTGGTGACTGGAAGCGATTTCTTTATCTCTTTTGTCCCTTGTTAAATGTTTTATTATCGATTTAAGCCGTCTTGCTAAAAAAACAAATAATTGGGCGCAACTTTCAAGGTTGGTCAATAAGTTTTTTGGTTTGGGACGCGACCTAGTTGACAGGATATTTCCGATTTTTGCACATCTCCCATTTTTTCACTAACCCGTCCCGTTTTTTGGTGTGGGTTGCTGGTTTATCGACACCGCCGGTTCGTATGACTAAGTGTGGAACAAGGACAAAAAATAGGAGATAAGCATAAGGTAACAAAATAAGGGGTTTCTCTTATCATGGGGCAAATGATATTATATTTGATAAGTATAAATGGGAGACAAGTTTCCCCGGCCCTTCATATTCAAATTGATGAAAACATAAAGGAAGAATTATACGAAAAAAGTTAAATAATACTCCCTTTGTCCCAAAATCGTAAATAATACTCCCTCTGTCCCAAAATTGTTGGCCAATTTTGATTTGCATGTGGATTAATAAAGTAAAAATTGTGTGGTTGAAATTTGTGCAGAGGAGAGAGAATTAACTTTAGTCATATATTCCTTATTTTAAATGGAGATAACCAACCTTTTTGGGACGACCAAAAAAGGAAATTTGGCCAATCATTTTTGGACGGAGAGAGTAGTAACTAGTTTCATTAAAAGTCAATCAATTCAATCAGAAAACGTAACTGCCACAATTTTACTTGTTTTTTATTATAATGAAAGAATTCAAATCTTTATTTTTTGTAAAAAATTGAGTGATACGATTTGTTGAACGGTAAATAGAATCTAATGAATAACCTCTACTCCGTATTTTTTTAACTACAGTCATCCTTAATATAAACTGCTTATTTCTTTTGTCAATTTTCAATGTATGATCTCTTTCATAAAAAGTTCAGTACTTTTCCTTTAAGATACTCCGTAATAAATTTGTTATTTACCGTAGTACTAGTGTAACACCCGGGGCATGCCCTGGAAGTGTTAATTTGATATGTGTGAGGTGACAAATACAAATAAACATTGTGAATTATTAATAGGATATGATCAATTCAAAATTTTGGCTATAATTGATTTCTTTTACTCTCTATGTCGCTTTATATTTAACCAAACACGATTTTTTATGTCAATGATGTTGAATTTTGACCGATTATATATTTATACACGATAGTAATGATAATATGGAAATGGTGTGAAAATGTTCTTTGTTAAAACTTTTTTCTCATAAAAGTATAAATTTATTAAGTTTTACATAATTAAATATATTAGTTAAAATAATAGATCAAAATTTATCATCTTTGACCGGAAAAGTCAAATATGGCCTGTCTAAATAAAGAGAGACGAATGTAGTATGAACTAACCACCACCATGAAATACGGGTGATGAATCTGGGGGTTATCATCTTTCACCATATTTTGGAATATGAATTTGGGGGTTATATATATAACCCCCAAATTGTGCTTTATGTGCTTAGTATTGTAATAGTTATTAATTATTTATGTGATTAATGTTATGATGAGAATGATTATAAGAATTGTTGAATTGAAATCGGAAATATGTGTAGCTTACAGTTTTACTTTATTTTGGATATTCACGTGTATTATTGGTGAATATCCAACACCGGAAAAGTTTGGATGAACAAAGTGTTATATTAACACATGGGCTCCTCCTATCAGGTTGACCTTCTAGGATGTAACCTCGTGTCTTAACATATGCAGTATTACTATTATAATTATATTACTATACACCTATTATAATAATAGTCACCTATAAATACTAATAACAATAAAAATACATTAATAATAATATAGTTAAATAATAATATGATTGTTGATAATAACCATAATAATATACGGTATTTTATGAATAATAATAACATACAAATAATAACTATAATAACACTATTCATAATTAATTCCAATAGAAGCAACGTACAATAATAACCTACAAAATTATTTAGATTAGATTGGAATCATCATAATAGTAAAAATAATACAATATGTCTGAACAAACCTTTTTTATTTGATCTGAATTTTTTTGATTTAATCTAATCTAGATTGATTGAATGTTTGGGGCTAATTTGATTTGACTTTTTATCTGATTAATTAGATATTTGACTTTTACAAAAAATATTATTTTAATTAATGACTAATGTTTGTGCTTAGCTTGAGTTGTCATCGACCTGGGAGCGTTTAACTTGATCGTGATGGAATTTGAGTCCTATTGCAAATGTTATGATTAATCAAACAGATTGTCTAACTTTAATCATAAAAAAGTTATTTTGGGTTTTCTTTTCCGTTGTTTTAGGCTTTTAGCATATTTCGTTATGCCAAATTAAATGTTTTAATATAGGAGGTTTAATAGGATATCTCTTAGCAAATAAGATTGTGACATGTCAGTCTTTTAAAACTCAGTTTTACTATTAAAACAATAGATATTATATCGTACGCTTTATCAACAAAATAATCAATCGAAGTATCAATCACACCACTAAAGATGTTTTTACTTGTACTGTAATTTGCCCCATACCAGACCAGACCTGACCAGACCAGACCAGACCAGACCAGTTCAGACCAGACCAGACCAGTTCAGACCAGACCAGACCAAACCAAACTTGGATAGTTATAAAAATACAAAGAAACCAGACCTTACCAGACCAGACCAGACCAGTTCAGACCAGAACAGACCAGATCAGACCAGACCAGACCAGACCAGCAAATTACAGTCCAAGTAAATACATCCTAAGTCAAAAGAAACGAGAATAGAGGAACTGAGGAAGTATAAGGTAATAAATTAAGTCTTTTACGTGAACAATACGCAGAGTTCTTTTTATGAAAGAATATTTTGTAAAGTTATATACTTGGCCGAACATGTTATATGAAAGTCATAGTACATCAAGCCTTTTACATGAAGTCTTGGGCTTGTATTAAGGCACCAGTGGAGCCAAGGCTTTGTTAATTTTTTTTTTCTTCTGATGCATTATTTCGTATTCCTTGTTGAATTTTAAAGGCAATGATGTTTACTAAAGGTTAATCAAAGGCACATTTGAATTGTTGACAATGTTTACTTACGTATTCATGTTTTAATGTAAACTGTGAATATGCAAATGAGAGAAATAAGCATATAAAAATAAAGTATGAAATAAATGTAGGTAGATAACCTGATAATGCAACCAAATCCTTGGAGGAAAGCCCCACTTTGCTGAAAGCTGAGATTAGGGCGCTAAGGTTGGAGGAGTGAGATGGGATAGCACCATTGTTCGCTGCATATAAGTTTGCTGTTCGGGAGTCTCTCCTACCTAGTTTGACATTCCACATTTTGCATCCCAACTAATCATAGAAGTAAGAGAATTAAGATACTCCCTCTCTAGATAAACTACTCATTTTTTCCTTATAGATGTCTTAAATAAAGTCTCATTTCTATATTTGATAAACAAATTTATATCAATTTACTTCACAACTGTTAAATAATAATGATTGCCCGGGACAAAATAGTGTTACTCAACAATAATGTTTATCTGTCTATAAAAAGTGCATTTTAGGAAGTCAAATGAAAAAGACCATTTCCTTGATATGCGGACGATTTTACAAAGAAGAATCCGAGCAAAGGGGGGAAATTTTATAGTCCTTCCCTAATGAAGTCATATGACATACTCCCTCCGTCCCGCTATGATTGTCCCATTTTACCTTTTCGGTCCGTCCCACTAAGATTGTCTCATACCTTATTAGGTAAAATTTGTGTGGTTCTAAATTATTCTTACTTTATTCTTACTTTATCAATTCAATATCAACCACATAAACCCACTTTTATTAATAACCGTGTCACCTTCTCTTGTCCCAAACTTAGGGGGACGGAGGTAATATGTGGAAAGTAACAATTCATCAAAGTGGGGTCCTCCATTATAAAAATAAATGGTAATGATTTCCCTGTCAAATTTTTTATATAGATCATTTTGATTAAAGTATTATATTATAGTAGTATAAAATTGTTGTTTGTACACGTCGATTGTATACGCCACTGTACACGTTGGATATTTTGTCTGTGTTATGACAATTCTTTTTTGTTTGTAAAGAGAATTGTGTGTCACACAAACAAAATGTAAAAATGGAACAATTACTTTTAGTTGTTATTGTTATATAATACGGAGTAAGGAGTAATTACTTGAACGACAGAGTCACGAGCAGCAATGGCAATAATATCTGCACAAGACACCACACCGGGGCACACTTTCTCCACTGCCGATTTGATTTCATCAATTATTTCGAACCCCCTAACTGAATTCTTGTTAACATGAGCACCTTTTTCTCCTTTAAATGAGGCTGTGTCATCTAAAAGAATGGATCCATCGCATCCCTGAAAAAAACCAAGTAATTACAAATGTTCTATTTTGAAAATAACAATTCCGAATTATTCCTCAATCACTATTCTACAATCAATTCTGATCTCTTTTAATTTCTAAACTTATTAATTAATTATTGTTATAATTACACTCTATTGTTAATAATTAAAGCTGGATCACATTCATCAAATTAATTGTCATTGTTTTTGTTGTTATGTTGTTGTTCCTTTTCAATTATTTAATCAGTCTAGGAAAGTCAAATAAGTTAATGATGTTGACTTCCCTCCTTAATTGTATGAGAATGGGGATCGTATTTCCCCAACAAATGTACAATTTAATAAAAATGTGAGGCACTTGATGAATAATGTTACCTGTACGAAGCAATCATGGAAATGGAGGCGAAGGAGCGAAGCACCCATACGATTTTCCTTGTGCACAACAGATTGAACAATTTGGTGTACAGTACTAAACAACTTGGGACATGTTTTAGAGTAGAAATGGGTGGTGAGATGCTGCTTTGCGTAAGAGCAATTAGTTAAGAGGCTAACAACAAAAACTGTGGCAATCAAATTTCTTGCTCTTGTTATTGTGGAAGGTGAAAAAGTAGAAGACATTGTTGTATCTGGCTTAGGTAAGAAGTGAATGTGTTACAAATCAAATCATGAATGTAATGAAGTGAGTAGCTATACTAATAGATAGACGATGTGTGAGGAGCATGATAATGTAGAGAGGCAGGGATATATAGTGTTTTTTTTTGCACGAATATATAGTGTTTCTGTGACTCTGTGAGATGTCAAAAAGTTGTTATATTTTCCATTTGCCACAGTGAAACGAACGTCAAGGCGCTACCATGTTAAAGTTAAAGTTACTCTATGGGCGTGTTTGTCAATCATTCAATCCGTATTCAATGACATAATCGATGAATTTGAGTACTTGACAAACACATTAAGTTGACATGATGCAAAAAATTGTTTGTTAATTTAGTAGTTTGATCATAGTCGATCGTACTTTGTAGGCAAATGCCCTATTTCAAAAAACTAAACCTAAAATGATACGGAGTATTATTTACTAGGGTCAATACATTTCAGGGATTCTGTTTTACAATACTAGGGTCAAACATCTATTTATCAACCATCGTGGATCACCATATTAACTAATACTCAATTCGTCTTTATTGGACTTTGCCAACTTTATCTTTTTAATTGTCCAAAAAAACTTTGTCATTTTCCTATTAAAACAAGGGATTAGGTCATAGATATTACTAATTAAAAGCATTTTGACAAATCTAAGACCATTTAACTAAATGCCAAAAAAGAGACCATGCGTATGAATCATTTAAATGATTAAGGTTGAAATGCCAAATACGCCCCTATTACTAATAGGATGTTTTTACTTGGACTGTAATTTGCCCCAGACCAGACCAGACCAGACCCGTCCAGACCAGACCAGACCAGTTCAGACCAGACCAGACCAGACCAGACTTGGATAGTTATAAAAATACAAAGAAACCAGACCTTACCAGACCAGACCAGACTAGTTCAGACCAGACCAGACCAGATCAGACCAGACCAGACCAGACCAGCAAATTACAGTCCAAGTAAAAACATCTTAAATGTTCCGCCGCCTGCTTTGTAATTTGTAAATCAGATGGCCGGTTTCCATGTTCCTCAAGTGCTACAACAAGTAAGCAACTTCCATGATTTTTTTTTTTGAAAATATTTCAAGATTAAAAAATAGTATGATTACCACATCTCCCAAATTACGGTTATCCGTTCAATTACAATTACCAGCCCGACCATTTAGAGGTATTTGATGTCAATATAATTACCTGACCAGTTACAGTTACTCGATCTGTTCAATTACAATTACCGGACCCGACCAGTTACAATTACGCTATCCGACCAGTTACAATTACCAGATCAACTACAGTTACTCGATCCGACCAGTTACAATTAATAGATCAATTACAGTTACTTGATCCGATAACTTACAGTTACCCATCCGATCAGTTACAGTCATCCGTCTGACTAATTACAGTTACTCGGTTCAACATTTACGATTACCTAAACGGATCAATTACAATTAAGTGATCCAATCAATTACAATTATCTCACCCGATCGATCAATTACAATTACCTGAACCATCAACTTATAGTTACAGTTACCCGCCCGCTAGCCACCGCTAGCGGCCACAGCCGGCCACCACCAACCACCACCTATCATTGCCGGCCACCGCACCTGCCCAACTACCCCGTCGGTGAGCCCCTCCCCTCTCCGGTGACCAGCCCCTCAGATCGTCTCTAGCCCCAACCCCAACCCGGCTCCATCCTCCCCAACCCCCTGCCGCCGCCAGCCACTCCTAATCACCGCCCCTGCCCAACCGCCTTGGCAGTCAGCCCCTACCCTCTGCAGTGGCCAGCCTACTCAGTCTGTCCCTAGCCCCAATCCGGTTCCAGCCTCCCCAACCCCCTGCCTCCGTCGGCCACGTCCCTACGCCGCCTAGCCCACTCCCAAACCTTGCACAAGTGTAGCCCCACCCCACACCCCGCCCACCCCCCCTCACCCCGCCCCCGAAACCGTTGCATCCTTCCTCCATACCTCGCCCCCAGATCCATCACCGACCATAGCCGCCCGCCACAATCGACTCAAAGGTCAAACCGTAGCCACCCACCATACACGCCCCGCACCCTACCCCCAAATCCCTATCCTTAGCCACTGTGCGATCTGAAACTAACGGTCTGATTCATTATCGATCTAATAGAGCTCGTGTCTGAAGAACGGGTAGGAGAAGGAACGTGATGTAGACTCGTTCTTCGTTGTAGATCCCAAGCTCTTCGTCAAAGTGAAGGAGCCTCGTATTTTCTAATGGTGATGTGCGATGATCCAGTTGCGGACTGGCTGCGGTGAAGGGGCTGCGGCGGTGAAGGACGGCGGTGAAGGGTTGGGTCGATCGATGTTAAGAGAGGCTGGCTGTGGTTATCTATTGGAGAGAAGCCGATTGTTTCGACAGGAGGATAGGGAGAGAAGCGAACAGTTTAGACGAGAGGGATAGGGATAGCCGAATGGGGGCTATCGGTCCATTGATTAAAAATTAATCTCTTTTTTGTCCAATTCAAATCTAGTCCTATTCTTATCCCGCCAAAAGTCCTTAGTATTATCCTTGTCATTATTTCTTAAAACAATTAATTTGTGATTCTGCTCAATTCTCTCTTCTCTACACCATTCTCAATCACACAATTTGATTTGAACATGGCAAAGCCTGCCAGAATGAAAGTAGTAGAAAACATTGAAACATGGAAGTAGTATTTTTGGGATGAAACGGCATTTTTCAAACGTATCATAGCACGTGTGTGTGAAGAAACTTGCAAAATTATACGGAGTAATGATGTTTTTTTGGACTGTCTTCAGTTCCAGACCAGATCAGATCAGATCAGACTAGACTTTCGTAGTTATAAAATACACAGAGACCACACGTTTACCAGACCAGACCAGTTTAAACCATATCAGACCAGCAAATTTCAGTCCAAAAGAAAACATCTATGTATTTCAAAGCTTTTATGGCCACCTATTTCAAAAGTAAATTAATCTATAACTTTTATTGGGTAAAACTGAAATTAAATTTTTTATGTACTTGCTGATTGAAGTTCCCATCCACCTATTTTTGTGTCTTCCAATTTGACGTTGCATATGCACTTCCCTTTCTAATATGAACATTTATCTAAATTTTAACTCTAATTACTTTTTTACTTCCCGATTTCATCATTTTAATTAGCTATCGTTTAATCATTTACTTTTTGTGTGTATATCTTACTTTCTCTAACTTTTTGGAGGTTAGAATTGCTAAACAACCATTTTATCTTTTATTTCTTAAAACTCGCATCAAACTCAAATTAATCATATACTATACTATCGTATTATGTGATGAAGGTAGTAAAATTTAGGGGTAGAAACTAATTCTATTTTGAATAGAAAGGAGTACTATTCATTGCATAGTTATTTAAAAAAATGAAATGATAAGAAATTTTAATAGAATAGGTGTCATCTAAAAATTTCCATCATTTGCAATGTAGCCCAATACTCTATTTTTTGACTTGGAAATATGATGGAATAAAACGAAATGACTTACTAAACCCTCTATGCTTCTTTGTTATGAAGCAGTAGTTAGTATATGCAATTTTCAACACAACTTTCACTATAATCATCGAGAAACCGTGTATTTGCGCTTTAGTACATGGGTAAGATCGCGTACATCCAACCCTCCTTACCCCACTGAAGGTGCGGGAGCCTTTGCGAATTGCGACACTGGGATGATGATGATGATATGTCATCTAAAAAGATTTAGTTAATCGTGACGTGTTATCAAATTCGGGGTAGAATATGTAGTTAATAAGTAAAGTTGGAGTTAATTCAAGGACAACGCAACTCTATTAAGAATATTAATCTTGACATGTTATCAAACGACACAATTATAATTATCTTCTAATCTATATTGTGATTGTCAATTCAAGAACACTATATTAAGAATATTAATAATACTCCCTCCCTCCGATTCTTAATTAAGTTCCTAGTTTGACTTTACACATATTAAGAAATAAATTTGACTTTACTGTGGAGTGCACTGTTTGAACACTGTTTGGCACTGTTTGAACACTGTTTGACACTGTTTGAACACTGTTTGGCACTGTTTTGGTGTAAATCATTTGCCAAATAAGGAAAGGTTTGAAGTAGGAACTTTAATATGGATAATCCCAAAAAGAAAAGTAGGAACTTAATTACGGTACCAAAGGAGTATAATCTTTCTCTAATCTTTACGTTTCATCCATTTCATAATAACACAATTAATTATACACAAATTGACCTAAATATGAGAAAACTTAAACGTAAGCACACAAATAGGAGTGAATATCTTTTACTCCGTATTCTCTAATTAGGACTAAGCATTACCTTTTTACTCTAACATAATCAATTAATACTTTGTATAATTAATTGGTCTTCTAGTTCCCATGCATAATTGATGACATATTTCAATTAAAAAAAATTGACAACAAATTCCAGCGGCTGTGCTAAAGAATTCAAACAACCGGCATAGAAGTGAGAACAGACTTGCAAGGGTATTTTTGTTCAAACATAATACTCCGTAGTTATTTTTTTTTAGAGAATGAAAAACAATAACTTGTACCTCCTTTCATCAAACATTAGATGTTATCAAAGGGGTAGTATTTTTGAATTTGGCTCATATTTTACTTCTATATATCATGGATTAGGATGTTTTCTTTTGGACTATTTTCAGTTCCAAACCAGACTAGATCACACCAGACCAGACCAGAAGACAAGACCAGACTTCCGTAGTTATAAAATACACAGAGACCGGACGTTTACCAGACCAGACCAGTTCAAACCAAACCAAACCAGATCAGACCAGACCAAACTAGAGCAGACCAGACCAGACCAGACCAACAAATTTCAGTCCAAAACAAAACATGCTTACTTCGCCAACAAAATAAACCCATTAACGCTTGGGCCTCCGTTTAAACTTTAAACGGAAGAAATCAGGGATCGGTACAGGAAGCAATCACAACGGTTAGTTCAAATGGAAGAAATCCTATGAAAGAAAGCAATCACAACGGTCGTATACTCGCATCCCAAATATACAGAGAGCGATGGGTAGAAAGAAAACCGTGGAAAATGGCCAAGATAATCCGGTGATCTTGACGAATAAAAGAAAGGGAGTTGGTCTAAGGAAATCAGGGAAAGATGTCCAGGAGAATCTGACGACTGTGAAGAAGAAAAGAAAGGGACTGGGTGAAACGAAAACAGTGAAAGATGTCCAGGAGAATCTGACGATTCTGAAGAAGAAAAGAAAGGGAGTGGGTGAAAGGGAAACAGGGAAAGATGCCCAAGAGAATCAAAGATGTGATAATGAAGGAGGATCTGGTTTCTTTGCCTGCTATTTGCTCACTTCCCTCTCCCCTAGATTCAAGGGTTTCACTTATATCGGGTTTGTTCCAGATCTTCTTTGTTCAGTTGGAATAAAAATCGAATCTGTAATGTTCTTACTAGCCAACTTGTGATTTTACCGAAAGAGAACAAAGTAAAACGGCTATTATAGATCCAAGATAATTCCTTTAGTGTAATGAAGAATTGGGGTTTTTTTGTATTATGATGCAGATTTACAATCAACCCACGGCGTAGAATAAGGCAGCACAATGGGGAAATATCCAGTGGTGCAGTGAGGACCAAGCGTAGGCGCCCTTGGGAGATGGTTTTATGTATTTATGGCTTCCCCACACATGGATCAGCATTGCAGGTTTCTGCCATTGTAGATTCTTTTAGTCAACCACTTTCCCTTTTGAAGTTTCAATTCTTTTTTTAGCTTATGGAATTGTGTTCTTAACTTTACTGTGCAGTTTGAGTGGGCGTGGCAACACCCAAGAGAATCATTAGCTGTAAGAGAGGCTGTTGGGTCCTTAAAAACATTAGTAGGACTTGGCAGTAAGATCAAACTGGCATACATGATGCTCACTTTAACCTCATGGCAAGGGTATATGCTTTTAAATGAAAGTTGCTGGCAATTGAAAGCTTTGAAAATCGTTGGAAATTGAAATAAAACCAGTTTTCAGTAGTACATTTGTCATTGTTTTTAAATTTTTTGGATTTCTAAATCTTTAAATGATAAAACTATATAAACAGAATGAGTTTGAACTTTGAACGAATAACTAAATTTGATTGATTGAGTTTGAAGCTTTTATTATTTTTCAAATCATTTCATTCCCTGAGCATTTCCAAACGGATCCTTACTGATTGTAGGTGTATTTTTTTTTTTATTCACTTGCCTATATCAGGATGAACCTTACTGTAAATTTCTTCTCGACCAAGTACACAAAGCATGCTGCTGGGTGCCCTAATCTGCCAGAACAGATGAAGGTCCGAGTTTGTTCTATGGATGATCTGCCTTGCTATTCAGGGATTAATTGGGATTCATGTGAGCATGATGATGATGAGTATGCTAATGATGATGATCATGATGATGATCATGATGATGATGAATGTGATGGAATTGGTGGCACCCAAGAATCTGCTTGCAGCCAGAGTTCTGGTAATGAAGAGAGAATCGAACAAAATGCTTCCTGGGAACATGATTTGATGGAACAATTAATTATTGAAAATCACAAATGGGAGCAAGAAAATAACAGGTCTTCCAGTTTCACTGACTTTCATGGGGCATCATCATCTCCATTTCTTTTCAAATCTATCAATATAATCGGCAACAATAAAGAAGATGATGAACCTAGTTTTGTTGAAACCAATAAGTTGCCTGAGGAAATAGTAATCGAGGATCAGAATCCGTGTTTGGCTACCGATAATCATACTTGTGAAGTTGAGATCATAGATATATGTACTCCTCCTCCTTGCAAATTCAGGAGTGAAAGTGACAACATAAGGTTTTCTTCAGCTTGTTCTGAGTTAATTATCGACTTGACTCAATCTCCCATTTTTGTGTGATTGTTATTCTTTTTAAGTTGTAGCAGCAATACCATTACTAATAAACAAACTGGAAACATGTCTTGTGTTTCTCAGTTCCTGCAATTTTATAGTCTTTGTATCCTTTCCTTCCGGATGTATAAACAAAAATAGCCTTTGTGTCCTTAAAGTATATCTTTTCAATTGATTTTTTTTGTTTCTTCATTTATATTGCGGCATATATAACTACTCTCTCTGGTTCTCAATGAAGTTCTCCTTTTGCTTTTATGGAAGTCTCACATTAAAGTTCATATTTCCTTTTTGGCAACATTTAATTTTGAAAGGAGTCAAAGCCTCAAAGGATAACGCTACCCACATTACATTTTCTCCTTATACCCCACTTTTACACTATTAATGGGGGTAAACAACTTTCTTGTATTGGTATAAGAGAAAAGTCAAATTAGAAACTTAATTAAGAACCGGATAGAGTATATTATATTTCCAAGAACATTTTTTTCTTTTAATGTGTACTCCCTCCGTCCCAAAAAATTGTTCTCGCATTGACTTGGAACGGAGTTTAAAAAAGTGGGAATAAAGTGAAAATATATGGTTGTGATTGAGTAAGAAAAAAGTAAATGAATTGTAGTCACAAAAAAACTTTCCAAAAGGGGAAAGTGGAACAATTTTTTGGGACAGCCAAAAAAGGAAACCGGGAACAATTTTTTGAGACGGAGGGAGTATATTAAAGTAAAATATATACAACACCATCTTGTATTAGTTCTTTTGCTAGGTTGACCAAACATAGTAGAATTTAGCATCTACATTAATCAAAGAATGAGTAGATTTATGGAGTCCCATATGACTCCATTTTGGGAATCATATGAGGTATTGTGACACCATCATCATCACTCTTAGTTTAAGTCTTTAAGAATGGGAAAATAGAAAAGGAAAATAAGTCAAGATACTAAATGTAAGCATATACAAAAATCTATGAATTAGAACCAATGTTTTATGCCCATCTGTGTCGAAGCTCAAATGTTGTGGGGCTCAAACAGTCAATTCTCAATTCTCTTCCTAGGTCGCGTTCTCATTTGATCAAAATTATATATATAGGAATTCAAAATACTAAAATCTCATAACTATTTAATGATATCTAACAAAAACACTCATTGTACAAAACTAAAGATACAATTAGATCTTTAGGTCAATATTTGTAAACAATGATTATTTATGGTAAAAAAATATTATCAGCTATAACAAAAAATATGACGGAGTAGTTTATTTGAATATTTTTATAGAAATAATAGTTCAACAAAGGTTGTTACTTGTTAGGTAGTAAGTATATTGGAAATTAATTTCAGTAGTAAACAATCAAAATAACAAAAATATGACTCTTGAACAAAAGAACAAGAAGGTTTCCCTACAATTACTCCAAAGCTGTTGCACATGATTGGCATTTATAGTCACTTTTTTGTAAACTCAAACATTATTGGTAATATTTACATAAAAAAACTCATATTGAAGAGAACAAAATAATTTTGGTAGTAAAAATAGATGTTCGTATTTTGGGCCACTCGCAACTTGCATTGCTCAACCCACTTAACTTACAACCCGTGCAAGTTTACCAACGAAACCAGTGGGTTTATCCAATGAAAAATGATAACTCTAACCCACCATAAAATGAGATGAAATAGGCTAGCTCTATGGACTTCGACTCATTTGAACACTTCTTCATCCATAGTTTAATTGAATTCTCATTAAAACTTTGTCAATTCACATACAATTCATTATCTCTACAATTTTAAAAAGTATTTTAAACACATATCTTATCGTGCAAAAATACACCAATTCTTAATACTATCTTCATCTTCCCGATTTGACTTACACACATATTAAGGAAATAAACTTATCCGGTTTAAAAATTGGCACTATTTAGATGTAGATAACTTGTCATTTAAGGAAATGAGAAGTTAAATCAGGGACATCCAAATAAGGAAAGTGAGAAGTTATTTCAGGAAAAAAAAAGGGACAAAGGGAGTATAAAACAAATATTTTACCACTTACTCCGTATTATTTTTGTCCAGCCTTCAAATTAGGAAATGAAGTATTAGGGGATTTTGTTTTATAGAGATATTGAATGTGTCCAATGTGTAAACAAAATCTAACATCACATGAAAATAATGCATTATAAAAGTCCGAATATGAAGCAAACTAATTACACTTTTTTTAATGAGTAAAGGGTCAGTTTGGTCCTCGAAATTGCACAAAAGGGGTCATATAAGTCCTTATATAGAAGATTCTGTCCGGACGTGCCATTTGAGGCGGTTCCCGGTGAATTTTTTTTATAAAATTTCATTTGTATGCCTTCTCGATGGAATTTTTAGTTGAAATTTGGTATGAATGAACTAGACTTAATAAATAAGATGCTCAAAAAATTTCATCAAAATATTCCACCGGAACCGCCTCAAATGGCGACGGCCGAATAGAACCTCTTATATAAGATGCTCAAAAAATTTCATCAAAATATTCCACCGGAACCGCCTCAAATGGCGACGGCCGAATAGAACCTCTTATATAAGGACTTATTCGAGGACCAAACTGACCCTTTACTCTTTTTTTAATTTTCGTTTAGGGGATTTTGTTTTATAGAGATATTGAATGTGTCCAATGTGTAAACAAAATCTAACATCACATGAAAATAATGCATTATAAAAGTCCGAATATGAAGCAAACTAATTACACTTTCATTAATGAGTAAAGGGTCAGTTTGGTCCTCGAAATTGCATAAAAGGGGTCAAATAAGTCCTTATATAGAAGATTCTGTCCGGACGTGCCATTTGAGGTGGTTCCCGGAGAAATTTTTTGATAAAATTTCATTTGTATGCCTTCTCGATGGAATTTTTAGCTGAAATTTGGTATGAATGAACTAGACTTAATAAATAAGATGCTCAAAAAATTTCATCAAAATATTCCACCGGAACCGCCTCAAATGGCGACGGCCGAATAGAACCTCTTATATAAGGACTTATTCGAGGACCAAACTGACCCTTTACTCTTTTTTTAATTTTCGGAACAACACCTGAATTTGAACCAATCCGTCTCCGTAGTGCTTGATATACAAAAAAAAATACAAAAAGGGCGTTCCGTTGCCGGGACTTGAACCCGGGTCTCTCGGGTGAGAGCCGAGTATCCTGACCAACTAGACTACAACGGATATTGAATTTGTTTTTCGGTTGACACATGTTATTGTATGAGTATGTTCGAATTTTGCCTAACAATTTTTTTGTTGAAAATTTTGGATCTTCCGGAGTTCCGGTGCCGGGAATCCAACCCATTTATGAACATCTTCCATTTTATAGTCCGGTTTTGCATTTCGTGTGAATTGTTATACGGAGTATCTTCTTTTCATTTTTTTGTTTCCATGAATAAATACTCCCAAGGTTTACAAAAAATGTTCTTTTTCCCGTTGAGCACAACTAGATTTTGCCTAGATTCTCGATGCATACATCAGGGGAGGATCTATGTTAGGGCTATGGTGGGCTGAAGCCCAGGGCAAAGCAAAAAAAAATAATTTTTTTAAGGTATTATTTTGAAATAATTCCATCTAGCCCACCCCGGGTTTTTGTATAGCCCAGTCCAATTTTTCAGCCTAGTCTATAAAACAAAATCTTACCATATAAAAATCTAATATAAATGTTATACACATCACCTCCCACTTAATAAGTGGCACTTAATTTATACGTATAATGGCCATAAAGCCCACAAAGCATCAATGTAATAAATACAATAAAATATGATTCAATTAAGAACTTGATTAGCATGTTCACATGAACTTGTAAAGTGTTTGAGTATCTTCAACAACATTAATTGCCCAAAAGTGAGTTCTTGGGCAAAAGTTTGTAGTGTATATAGACATTTTTCATGTTTTGAATTTGTGTTCGATTTACTTTAGTTTGTAGTGTATATAGACATTTTTCATGCTTGGGACAAAATTTCTATGAAGGACCGACATGTGTACACATTTTGTGTACACATTTTGTGCACACCTAGCAAAACTCATAGATGGAAATGTTTTCTTGAAGAAGTGAATGAGTTTTTCTCAAAAAATAAATTCATATATGCACCAAACTTGAATTCTTATTTCTAAATATATGGTTGGTCATTGCTGAAAAGAAACTACAATTGATAATCATTATTACTTTGATGTTTTCAATGAGGTAATATACTTTTATTCATGGAGTTAACGACCCGGTTTAATGATAAATCAGTGGTACTCCTTTGAGTGTTTCATTTGATCCAAAAAATTCATATGAGTCGTTCAATGTCGATGCTATTTGTACTCTTGTAAGGAAGTTTTATCCCGAAGATTTTAGTAGTCAGGACATTCGTGCTTTGAAATTCGAGCTGCAACACTATGTTCATGATGTGATTCATGATATCAAGTTTCAAGTATCTACACTTGTTGAATTATGTGAGGAATTAACTAAAAGCAAAAGGTGTGATTCATATGTTAAGATGACTAGATTGATTCACTTCGTATTGGTCTTATTGTTTCTACTGCAACAGTAGATAGAATGATCAGTTTCTGTCGTAAAACTTCTAAAGGCAACACTCTGCAATAAAATGGATGATAGTTTTCTTGCTGATTGCATGACACTTTACATTGAAAAAGATATTACTCTCAGTATAGATGTAGACTCTATTGTTAATGAGTTTTTTGTTTTAAAGTCTTGTCTAGAACAAATTTAGGGGATACCTTTTATATTTGATTTTTCGCTTATTTTGAAAAAAAATCAATGTATTATCAATTAAAATTTTCAGCCCAGCCCAACATTAAATTCTGGATCCGCCCCTGGCATACATCACATGATATAAATAGATTTTGCCAAAATTCTGAATGGTTCACTAGGAGCAAGGGCATATCCACTATGTGGCAGTGGGGCAATTGTCTCTTGTGGATTTTGTTAACAGAGCATTAAATTACGTCAACAATTTGATAAAAAAAAATGTAAAAACGGTTTGAACGAATGAAAGAGCATATAAGTATTTTATGAAGTATATCCCTTATAACCTAGTTGTAAAAACGGTTTCGTCATAACATTCATATTTTCTCATTTCTATATCTTCTCATTACAATCTCAATAATTTTAAAATACTATACTATTACAACTACTTTTTTTTATTTATCATTCAATACAACACACTATTTCATGATCTTCTCATCATATCCTCAA